CGGCGCATGCCGTTAAGTGGCAAAAGGTAGTCGAAAAAACCGATAACGGCCAAAGTGAGTTGCGAATATGCATATTTTGGAATACTGCTGAACCACTTCTATTTGATAGATGCCGGCGTTAGCATCAGGCCGAGAAAGCATCTTCGCTCCTGCCAGCTCTGCTTCAATGTTTTCTCAGCGCGGCATCTAGTAATGTTCTCTTTTAAGGCATTCATTCACTCATTTGGTCCTTGCATGCCCACGACCAGATGTCAAGTACGACGATTAGAGGACTTACACAATCTGTCGGGAAGCAGACATTTGTATGAAGCCTTCTGCTTCCATTCTCTGTAGTTCAGCGCATGGAGGTTCTCGCAGTGCCAAAGGCACTCATGTGGTTGGCTGCATGATGGCCTCGGCACCTCACGAAGGGTGATTCTGTACTGGCGCCTCGCACCACCTATTTCTTAAAAAAGCTGCGGGAATTCATCAATTATCGCGGAAGGTCTGTTTTTGTTATGGCGTCAATGTTCAATTTGATGAGCCCCAGGCTCTACGCAGCTGTCAGACCTACGAGGGCGCCATGGTCTTGCTTAATCGCCAAGAAGTGTGTGTAGACGGCCCGGTCACCAATGGCACCGTGTGACGAAATCGTACCAAGTTGTTTGATGACACCACCGTTATACGATCGTAGGACTACGTTACTTGCTTGCACTGGACAGGCTTGAATAAAAAAAATAACAGCGGCATCAGGTTTGCTTGGGACTCCACGGTGATATTGATTTTGACGTCCTTGTCAGCAACATTTGCTTTCATAATGCAGTCCTGATCACTGCTAATGTTTACGATAGTGACGTGAAAATCAAAACATCATAGTCTTCGTTTTGGTACGGAGTTTTCCTCTAGTTTTTTATCTCGCAGATGGCTCCGCTTGATTGGCAGCATGATTACAAATAGTTACGCACCTTGCACAAGTAGCAACTCTGTGGCTTGCATAAAGCTACAGATTTGTCCAACGCAAGGCCCTTGTCCCTAAACAGCTTGTCCCGAAGATTCAATGAGTTTGTACCGAACACAGTTAGGCCGCGCACCATCTCGTCCATCACCGTTCTATACTTACAAAACTGCGCCTGCTTCTTCAGTGCGCGAAGGAACTGTTCGAAGGGTTCAGCTTCACTCTGTAGTCATGACCGGAAGACGTAACACTCGTGATTTGTGTTCTCTTGCTTGACGTAGTATTTCGCGAGCTTGGCCACCACCGTGCCAAAGTCCTGTTTGTATTCGTCGTCATCGAACGCAAAGTTGTACACTTCAAGCTCCTCACTACCAGCCACGCTGAGGAAAAGGGCTATTTTTGCAGCCTCGAACTTTGGTTGTTAGGTGCACTACGTGGCTGCCTGAAAGTGATCAAATTTTTACTGGAAGAGCTTCCACGTTCTTCTCCCACTGGCCGAGAGGCCTATAGGCTACGGTGGTTTGAAATACTTCATGCTTGCGGTGTTTTGAAGGCTGTAGTGTATCTATGTTGCTGATGTACAAAACGTTTTTACATCCTGCAATATCACAGTATCTGAACGACAAGTTCAGCTTGTTTTTAATAAAGCATTGACAATGAACGCAGGACATACAAAAACATTCGTATACTCACGAACGACGTTTACCATCCAATCGGATGTGAATTCGCTCGTGAACTGGAAATTTCAGTAACACCACGAAATAATGTATGTGAAGTAATAAAGAACCATCATAAGAACTGAATAGGAAACTGAATACTTATGTATGTCTATGTGTAGGCCAGCCTTCCATTACCCTCTATATACCACGGATCTGAAACTCAACTCAGCTAGTGGGCCACGCAGTTTAGTATCTCAAGGGCTAAGAATGTAGAGATGTACGGTGAGAATTTTCATGAAAAGGGACACATGAAGGCGCGTGGCCTGCGCACCTTGGCGGCTCCTTGCAGCGCGTGAAAGTGGGAGCGAGAGGAACTACAGTAGGGCGTCTCGATGTGCGTGTGCCTCCGCTTCCAGGTTGAATACACATTCTAGAAGGCTCCATGCCGCCTGGCGGACATATTGGTTTAGAAGTGTTGGGTGGCTCACTAAGCTAGGACGGGAATAGTACAGTGAACATGTTCTTCACGTATTGAGACCCATTCTTTGGTCTCTGTGGTACGCTACTGTCTGCCATTGTGTAATAGTTCACACTTGAAACGCCAGCGTATGTTTTGTTTTCCTTGTAACAGCAAGCGAAGTAAAAATATTTGAATTGACACGTGGCCGCTGAAATCTGACCGACCACACTAAGATATGCGAGATTGGTTTTGACTTCACCAGCATGTAGCCGTGCATTTTTAATTAGCTGGAAGCGAGCACGCTGTTAGGCAAAGCCCTGCATGTCTCACTATAGCTGCATCGCATAATTCCCGCGTGAAGCTGCTTCTAGAAAGAAGATCTTAATCTGTTAAGGTGTTAAGCAGCCACTCACGACTTTGGCATGGCGCGTGTAGAGAAGTGGCACGTCCGCCTCACAAGCCGGCAAGTCACCAACTCGTCTATTTAGAGATATATACATTCGTTACAAAACACTGTCACACGAGGCGCCACATAAAATTTGAAGCAGAAACCGAAACTGAACAAAACAGCACGACACAACACCATCCCCTCCTCGAATCGAAGAAAAGAAAATACACTCGTAAAAACACACAGTACAACAATATACACAGCACACTACAATGAAAAGGAAAAAAGAAGTAAAGAACACTAACGAATATACACGTATCACAGTGCAGAACAAAAAAATATATTGTAAGGCATGAACACCAATATACAGCAAGGCACATTGCCAGCTTCACTACATCGCATCATCCCCGCCTTAGAAACAACACTGTGTGCACACGAAGAAATTCACAGTAACCAGACTAAAATAAGAAGTAAAGCACACTGAAATAAGAAGTAAGCACACGAAACCAAGGCACGTTGCCAAATGTATTATTCCCTCCCCCGGGAGAGGATGTTCGCATAGTCTCCTTGTCCGCATAGTCTCCTTGCAGACGCCTGTGCCGGTGCCACTTCCACGACAGGCGTCTCAGTTGCAGCAATTAAGAGCAGTCAGGTCAAACAAAAGAGTCGGCCCAAGAACCTTCGGTTCTGTGCATCTTCGGCACAGTAGGAGCCGAAACACGCAGGTATTGACGAGGCTGCGAGGAGGGATGAATCGGCGCTACCAATACAGAAATCGTGCGGGTAAGAGCAACGGGCACGGTCGGTGTAGCATCGACAAGAGGAAACATCTTTTAAGCACGCGGAGCAGGAGCTGCCTCTAAAGGCTCGGCTGGCACACTCGGCGGCTGCACCTTTGGAGCGTGTTTGGAGCGTGTTTGGCGACTAAGTGGGTTGCACCCGGCACGTTTCTTTCCGTGGTTGCTTCTAAATGGTCTATCCGTTCATCGCCCACGCCTATTGGGCTCCGTTACTCCTTTTTCGGGTAATTTTATCTTAGAGTGTACAGCGTACCACCCTGAAACGAATGGCTTGACGGAGCGCTTCAACCGTACTCTTGGTAATATGCTGTCATAGTTATACAAACACAAAGCCACACCCCAACACATATATACATAAAGGGACGTACTAGTGCGTTAAGGTATTTCAACACACACGTTCACTTAAAAAGCTACGAAATGAAAGACTTGTCAACATTGCACAGAAGCTATGCAGAAACCACATGCATCTTTTTAAGTTCTTTGAAGGAGGCTGTAAGAAGATCAAACAGCATCAATTTATACCTGCTTAGTACTGTAAGTATTGTATAGTGGAGCATTTCTTTTCCTTAGGTTGAACGCAGTGTTGGTACTAACCACTCCTCTAAGTGATACGGTAACTTGGAGCTTTTTTGAAGTTGGACAAGATTACATAAGTTGTCTATGTTCCGATAGTGATCATTTTGGGTATCTAGCTCGAACGGTATTTGTGCAGATTATGTGGTGAAATTTCACTCGAATTGTTAAAGAAAGTTGTTGTCGATGCTGTGTAAGAAGCCTTATGTGCGTGCCGGAGATACTTTTTTGTAACAGAAAAACACAATCTAGTATAATGTTTTTTGTGTTACGCAAAACTATTTTACAAAAGTTTATATGTGGTTGAAAAAGTGAATAACTAGTAAAAGGTAATACATGCGGGAAGAGTGTAGCGGAAGCGTTCTACTACATCTGTGACTTTTTTTTGCTTTATCTAGGACGTAATTAACATGATTATTTTATGACATGCTGGCGGAAAAGATAACACCCAGACATTTGAAATTTTCGGTAATTTCAATACTTCGGGCATATAACTTGTCTTGATCTGGAGGTATGCACTTGTTCTTTGTCCTGAATATGACTGCTTTTGTCCTATGGGGGGTTTAAGGCCTCAAAACCACCATATGGTTATAGGAGCCGCCGTAGTGAAGAGCTCAGAAATTACGACCACCTGGGATTTTTAACGTGCGCATAAATCTGACCACACGGGTCAACAGCATTTTTGACTCCACCGAAAGTGCATCCGCCGCAGCTGGGAATTGATCCCGCGACCTGCGGGTCAGCAGCCAAGTAGCCAAATTACTTTTCGCTAACAACGAAAATAGCTCTAATACCAAGAAGTGCTGTATACTTGTTTCATGGCAAGATTGGCACCCAACGTGGTGTCCAAGTAGCTATGGTACTAGCAACTGAGCTTTAGATTTCAGCCTCAGTGGTCACATGTTCCGTGGTAGAGAATAGAAACAAAACATTTCTATAAACTGTGCACTAGGCACAGATTGAAAGATTTCATGAGTTGCAAACGTAGCCGTAGACTGTTGGTGTGTTGAGCGTCCCGCTTCGACCATAATAGTAGTAAGTAAAAGTTGATTATAATACTGAAAATCAATATAGCTAAATGAGCTATAGCAATTTAAGAGGCACATATAATCTTGAAATACATCTTCAAAACGAAAGTTGAGAAAAGTACTAAAGCAGTCAACATTTTTTTTCTTCTTTTGTGCAGTCTCTCTGGATGCCCGGCCCGTGCTTATTCCGATTCTGTCGTCAGTGATCTGCTTTCCAATTGTGGCCCTGGCTGTGATCTGTGCACTGCGCTACCGGGCACTCAGACTGCGTCGCAAGGAACATCTAAGGAGGCTTCGGGGAGGAGGGTATGTATGTGCTCGGTGGAATTTCTGGCATGTTGTAGATCTGGAAAAATGCAGCGTGTTTTATGAAGCCTCCTTAAGAGCGGTGAGTACACCATTGGGCTCTGTGCACTTAGCAGGTGTGCATGCGACAGCAAGGCACCCCACCATCCAAACACTCGGTAATGACGTATAGCGGGGGAGGATAAGCTCGTATCCGTAATCCAACCATGGTCAGCCCAGTGGTCGCGTTCCTGCGGCATTCTCAGTCGCACACGTACTCAGAGGACCACGCTTGACGTGAAGACACACTTTCGAGTAAGATTTCCCCTTCTCGTCCCAGGCGGGGGCGACCTTGACGGCTTCGCTCGTGAAACGTGCGAACGAAGGAGTCTCCTTTCTTTCCCGCGCGCAGTCTTCCGCGTTCGTTTTCGCGGAACCGATCGGTGTCGTGAGTTGATAGGCCGGGAACTGGCTCAACACTCTGCATCAGCCGCATTAAATGCACTGCACACAACACGCCACTAATGATTGCCTCATACTTACTGCGTGAATATGACATTTTTTAATAAACGCTGCAGTATTGATTGGCACGGGATATGTTGCACTAAAAGCTAGTGTGGAAATTAACACTAAGGAAAACGACCTAGCAAAGCGCTGCACTCAATGGGGGACCCTCGCTATGCCATATTGCACTGGGGCTCCGTTTGAAATGCCGTATAAAATGGCGACACCTTATGTTTTGCGTTCATGATTTCACCACATTTCGATCTACACAGTGTCCGCAGTATTTATTCAGAATTAATGCTCACAAATTTGGAGCCAAGATAAGTAACCGGGGGTCATCAGTTCGCGAAAAAATCACAGCATATTCACGGAGTGACTGATGAAGAGTGAGGCGAAGGGTTTGTCCGTCGTTGCTTCCGTTCATCCATTCGTGCATCCATCCGCCGATCCATTCGTTCAACCATGCCTCCATACACGTCGCCGTCCGTGCGTCCATCTGTCCATTCATTCTATTGCACACATTTCTATTAGAGCAACACCATCTAAGAAATCAGACGAGAAATGGTGATGAGGCAGTGCCATATTGTATACTGTTCGGGAGATACTGGGAAGAGATACGGCAGATACGTCTGACGCAGGACAAAATGAGACTAAAAAGAGCTTCGCCCCAAAGAACAGCTCTCAATATCAAGCTGATATGAGCACCTTCGCACTCTGGCAATCACGCCGATGAAGCCGTAAGTGACCACACCCAAGGTAAAATGGGCCTGGCGGCGGCAGCACTGGAGATACAGTGTACTAGAAGGGGGCAGTGAAATAAAGGAGGCGGCCGCGCTGCATCTCGGCTGATTCTCCCGCGGGTGACAGTAGCGGTGGTGCTGTAGTCCCATGGTACTGAAGATTTCAGCAGCGTCTGCATTAGGAGCACGTGTGCCGTAGCTTGCCAAAGTGTATATATGCTCATTTTTTAGCGAGTTTAATGCGTTTCTGAGGCTTTTTCAGTGTGAGCACACCTGCTAAGTGCCACGGTGCACGAGTGAATATGAAGGCATGCCGAAATTGCGTCGATACATTCACTGTTTCAGGAAGCTGCCGACCCACAAAAACAAAATGTTAACCGGAATTTGCACAAATCCGCCTAGCTTCTGACTCAAGCAGCGCCTTGAGCTGCGCTACATCATAAGTGGCTACTGACGACGCGCAAAGAGAGGAGAATTATCAAAACTGCGAATAAATCATAAGCTCATTTTGGCGGCAGTGTCTACGATATCCAGAGCACATTGTTCCTCATATGAGCCTACATTCGCTCAATTTTTTCATGAAAAACTCGAGTTTAAGTAACGTTGTCACAACATCTACATCGGTGACGATGTAGATGTTGCTTTTTGAAGGGCTTACTTAAATTTATTGCTTTCTGAAAGGCTTACTACATATAAATATATTAAATACAATACACGAACATGTTAAAATTGCCAATTGTATGTATAGTCCGTCTGTTAATCTGCGTAAATTCGTTGTAACCAGTTCTCATTTTGTATCGACCGCCTAAATTGTGCTGATTTTCAAATATTTTATTAGTGTAGCGCTATTTCAGCCAGCAAGTGTGTGACGACATTTTGTTTTATAAGCGTAGTTCTAGTATTAAGTGTCAAAAGTGTAGGCAGGAAGTGGTTCATCTTGTTTTCAGAAATTTAACTTGTATATGTACAAAGTAAACACACACACGCACACACACACACACACACATATATATATATATATATATATATATATATATATATATATATATATATATATATATATATATATATATATATATATATATATATATATATATATATATATATATATATATGAATGTATATATGCGCTTTCACATAAGAACTGTTTTCTCTGTCGACGTTTCAACGGGAACGCCGTCTTTTTCAAGCATGCCTTTATGCCTTGAAAAAGACGGGGTTCCCGGCGAAACGTCGGCAGAATAAACAGTTGTTATGTGAAAGTGCATCTACTTTCATATTTATAATCTTGCGGCAACCGAAGTTTTATATATATATATATATATCTGCCAATGAATGCTAATTGATGACACCAAAATCGAGACGCACACGTGGAATGCCTTTATTCCAATGGCTCCGTAATCACACACACAAAGCAGAAGTCACATACCAGTGTTCATGAACACACGCATCCAATCACTAACGGGCACATACACAACATACAAACAAACAAACAAGTCCACCATTCTGAACAGCGGTACCGTCTTTCACGCGAGCATGCTGACTATGAAACGCACTGCGCGTATGGTGCAATGCCACATCGCTTTCGATGCAAATTCGTATAGCGTTGGATGCAGCACTCCTTTCTTCCTATTTTGAGGCATGGCTATAACCCCAAAGGTCCAGAGAGAGAGAGAAAGAGAGAGAGAGGTCGTCACTGACGGCAGCTGCTTCTTACGGTGATTGGTGTCAGGGATGGGTGTTGCTTGTGCTTGTTCTTTTACCATTTGGGCATCTGGTGATTATGTTCCATTGGACAATGTTGAACTGGGCACAAGCACATCCGCAGCATGCGGGCAATCGGGTTCACTGCGAACACAATCGCTGTCAGTCTCCAGAAATGACTTCCGCAAGTGATTGCTACGTACGTACTGCACATGGCTTGGAAAAAAAACCTAATGCGTGCATAACAATTCCGCACCTGTCACTTTTTCGGAAAATCATTTAACAACTTCACCTCTACTTGAGCGCAATAAGCAGCATCACCAACAAAAAGATAGGGGGATTCACCCCTTCACTTGTCTGAACAGAGTTTCACTCTCTCCACTTTGTCACAAAGTTCAATTCTAACATTTGATTGCAGCAATGTTAGCCTAGTCCCCTGTTTGCATAGTCAGCACGATAAAGCTGATCGATGATTCGCACCGCTCGCCGGCGTTGCCGCGTGAGCACTGCTCCTCGGCAAAAGCAAACCAGGCGGGCGGACCCTATCTTCACCGCGGGCCACTGTCAATCCAACTGATTGATGCGTGAACTCGGATACAAGCTCATTGATTCTGAGAAGAACCCAGTTCGACTCGTGACTGTCATGGTGCCTGTGTTATGGTCAAGTGTTTGATACGGTGGATCCTAATTAGCAGCTTCTGTATCTAAAAGATAATTTAGTTATCTTTCGTTACTTCTGCAAGGATGGACTCATAGAGGAGTTTGTTTCAACCTAGCTTCTTTCACCTTATTTATTCGGTTGTATACTCGTCTGCTTTGTCTGCTTCGAAGTGAAGGCCACATAAACTCTATTTATTCTTCATTGTATTAATTACTTGAGGCCTAATGAAGAGACACTGAAACATACTTGACCTAATTGATGAGGTTTCGATCAAAACAGAAATAATTAGTTCAGGTGAAATTATGAAAATTGTCATTTGTATAGAGCTGTTTAATTTGATTTCCATAAGTATGATTTTAATATTTTTAATATCAGTAACGTATAATAACACTGTTTGAATAATGTGGTTATGGTTAACGTCGAATGGTTTCGTTGGTGCGTGCTAGCAAGCCGTGCTAACAACAAGCTTAGCTAGCACGACTCTAGCTTCATGTGACTTCATAATCATGATCTTATTATTATGTCCATGTCGTAATTATTTTGGTCTTTGGAGGACTTGGCCTAATTACCTTGGTCATAGCAGGTCCTGGCCTGACTAACAAAGCGGAATGCCGCCCAAACTGCTAATTAGCCTGCCGCACCGACTCGGATGCTAGCGGTTGATGAAGACGACGAAGAAGGCGTGCACCACCGGAAGTATCCAAACATTTTTAAAACTCTAGACATTGCTCCAGAGAGAATCGTTTTATGCTTTTATTGAAGAGCCAGGCTTACTTTTTGAAACTTGGTGGTCGCGATCCCACTGCCCACAGATAAGGTTTGTTCAAGTGCTGCTAGAACCACTGAACGTCAAAATCAAACATATTTTCTCAACAAGTCACTTAAATTCACATTTTCAGATAGAAATATAGAATAATTATCCCTTTAACGCAAAGCAAATGCCGTTTCAATATTTAAATGATCGGCTTCAGGATCATTTGGCACACGTGAATATAAACATTCTAATTGTGACTGATGCATCCCTATCAAACGAAAAGGCTGGGGCAGGTATTTTTTCACGTTCCCTTGACTGGTCCTTTTTGGTTAGACTCCCAGATTACACACCATCCTTCATAGCAGAATTATTTGCTATTGTACTGGCACTACGGAAACTTCGTTTGGGCGAATCGGAAGCAGTCGTAATTGCAGATTCTTTTTCAGTATGTGCTGCTCTGTCTTCGGAAGCCAACTTAACACGTATGCACATGTTTCGACAACTCATACCGACAAACTTGCAAAAGCTGCAGTACTTATGGGTACCAGGCTATCGTGACATATATCTCAATGAGATGGCGGATGCACTAGCCAAAGTATCTCTTAGTGGTCCCCTTATCCTGACTTTGCCTGATACGGCTTAGGCGACAGCAATAAGG